GTTTCCAACTTTCACATTCCAATCACCAGTGACAACCAATATATCTTGATTGCATGTTCGGTCAACTTCAGACTGCAGAAGTTCATAAAAATCTTCAATTTCCTCATCTTTGGCTTTGGTGGTTGGTGCATAAATGTGAGTAATAGTAGCATTAACAGGAGTTCTGGTTATACGAGCTCTGGTGGCATAGTGCTTAAGGCATTTGACTGCTAACCAGAAGGCTGACAGTTCAAACCCACCAGCCACTCTTAAGGAAGGTTGGACAATCTACTTCCATAGTGATACTGCCTCAAAAACCCAAGGATGGTTCACTATGTGTCAGATCTGACTCCACAGCAGTGGTTGCATTTAGTACTATTAACTGGTCTTCCTTGTAGGCATATGGATATTATCCTATCACTGACAACATTGTACTTTAGGACAGATCTTGAAACATCCTTTGTGATGATGAGTGCCACGCCATTCCTCTTCAATTTGCCATTCCCGGCACACTAGATCATATGGTTGTCTGATTCAAAACGGCCCAAACCAGTCCATTTCAGCTCAGTAATGCCTAGAATATTGATCTTTATGTGTTCCATTTCATTTTTGACAACTACCAATTTTCCTGGATTCATACTTCATACATTCTGATTATTAATGGATGTTTGCAGCTGTTTCTTCTCATTTTGAGTCATGCCACGTCAGCAAACGGAGGTCCTGAAAGCTGTACTCCGACCACCTCACTGAGCTCGGCTCTCCTCTGAGGAGGCAGCTCTTCCCCATCATCTTCTGAGGGCTCCCGACCACAGGGGCTCGACCTCCAGCCCTGCAGCGCACAGTTCCGCTGGTATTTTGATTTGATGTCTGTGTCCTCCATCTGGTCCACATGTAATTGCCATTTATGTCATTGAAGAAGGGTTTTCAGTGGCCAACATTCTCAGAAATGGATGGCCCCTTTCTTCTTCCGAGTCTGTCTTAGTTTGGAAGCTCCACAGAAACCTGTCCACCACGGGTGACCCTGCAGGTATTTGAAAGGCCCATGGCATAGCCTCCAGCCTCACAGCAACACGCAAACCACCACAGTATGACAAACTGACAAATGCTTGGTGACCTCAAGAATATATTTCCTAAAAAAAAAAAATGGGATCTCCCTTCCATAGTTGCAGGCGTCTGTCACAATCAGGACGCTAGCACCAGTGCAAGCCTGTGACCTAACCCAAAGTCCCTGGGGGCGCCAATGGTTGAACACTTGGCTGCCGACCAGAAGCCTGGAGGTTCACATCCTTCCAGAGACGCGAGGCCGCAGAAGAAAGGCATGGTGACCGAGTTTTGCAAAGACACAGCCTGGAATACCCCGTGGGGCCGCGCTGCTCTGCACACGTGGGCTGCCGTGCGTCTGAGGTTGCTCGGTGGCAACCAGTGCACTCTTTGTTGGGGTTTTATTTTATTTTTTACTCACCTGACCTGCAGGGCTTACTCAGACTTTGACTGTGGTCCGTCCCCGTCCTTCACGGACAGCAATATCCCAGCTCTCACGTCACATTCTGTTGCCATGTTGCTTTCATTTCCGTTGATCCGGAACGTCCCTCAGCCTCCCTGGCCTCTGGTGACACTGACACAAGGAACACTGGGCTGCTGTGCTGTAGGGTGACCC